CTTTGTCAAAAGCCTCTTCTACATCAATGGAGATGATCATGTGGTTTTTAGTTTTCGCTCTATTGATATAGTGTATTGCATTTATTGATTTTCAAATATTGAACCATCCTTGCATCCCTGGGATGAATCCTACCTGGTCATGGTGTATGATCTTCTTGATTATTCTCAATTTTAGACAAAAAGTTTTCAGACATATTTTGTTTGTTTGTTGAGCCAGAGGCTCACTATGCAGTTCAGGCTGGCCTCAAACTCACAGTGATCCTCCTGCCTCAGCCTCCCAAGTGATGGGATTATAGGCATGTGTCGCTTCACCAACTGCTTTCAGTCTTATCAATGAGTGTAATGTTGGCTGATGGTTTTTCATATATGATCTTTATAATGTTAGCTAACTGATGTTAGGTAAACTGATCATTTTTATAATTCTACTTTACTCAATGACTATCTTGTTAGCTGTACTAGTTTGTTAGTTTACCTTTTGATGAAAACTTCCTGATGGTTACCATGGGGTTTGCAATACATATTTTGAATTTATTACAACCTACCTTCAACTAACATTCTATCACCTTGGAGTAAGAACTTTACTCTGGAACTCTTCCAATTCCTCCTTCACTTCCCCTGTTCTATTGCTGTCACACATTTTACTTTTACTTTTACTTTTACTTTAATTTGTTCCCTAAGGTGAACAAACCTATTTCTAACTGCCAGTAGATCTCCCATCTCAGTATCTCACAGGACATATCTTAAACATAGTTGTTAGCTGTTCCTGGCCCCAGACTCCCCTCTCAGCTCACTAAATTACACCATTGCCCACAGTGTCTCCTAATCCTAGAAGTAAAACCTATTCTGTTTCTTTTACTGCCCATTCCAAATCAGCCACTATTTCTACTATTGCTATCTTTGAAATGTTAGGGCAGAGCACACAAAAGTTTCAACAATTTAATAAGGCTCAGCATACATATTCTTAATCTTTCCATCTCTCCACCTTCAGAACTTAACCTTAACTCACCATCGTCTTTGCCTAGATTAGTCAAGGGTCTCCCAGCTGGCCTCCTAATTTCATTTAATCCACAGTCTACTCTCCCATAGCTGCTGGGATTATTATTTAATCACAAATCAGGTTCTATCATTGTCCTGCTTTAAACCTTCAATGGCTTTATAATGTAATCATAGGGGAAACTGCCATATGGGTCACAAGACCCTACACAATTTGGTTCCTGTCTATGTCCTATCACTCTCCCTCTTCCTCTGGGCTCCAGCCACACTGGCCTTCTTGCTGTCCCTTAATGATACCAAACTGATTATCTCCGTGAAAAATATTTTTCTTAGATTCTTTGATGGCCGGCTCCATGTTGTTAGTTTTCAGCTCAAACTTCATTTTCTCAGTCAGCCTTTGATAAGACCTTTTAAGCAGAAGTACTCCCTCTCTCAAAGGTCTCTATCACACTGAACAACATTTGCCACTACATGTAGTCATCTTATTTGTTTACTTGATGGTTAGATTTCTCCTACGGTATGTAAGCTCCATGACAGTAGACATCTGGTCTACCAGATATCTGACACTACCTTTTCTCAGTACCTAAATCAATGCTTATTACAGAGCACTTGACAAATACCGTGTCAATAAATATGACAGAATAAGTCAATTGGTGAATGTCATAAAAACATCAACAGAAAGTAAGAATACTTTCAGGGGATTAAAAATACATTACATAATAATAAATAATATGACCTATATAACACACAACAAAACTTAAAAGAACAACTGACTAACCCTGAATATAGACTTCTATGAACTGAATGGTGTCACTCACCAGAATTCATAGGTTGCAACCCCAATAACCAACATGACTGTGTGTTGAGACAGAAGTAGTGAAGCTCAAATAAGGTCATAGGGATGGAGTCCAGAGCTGACAGTATTTCACATCCTTATGAGCAGAGACAGCAGAATGTTCTTCCTTCCCTCCTCCTCACATGCAACACAGAAAAACAAAGCTGCAAAGCCACTATTTACACGCCAGAAGACAGCCTTCACTGGAAACTTCCTATCAGATCTTGATCTGTGACTTAGAGCTTCCAGAACTGTGAAATGACTTTCTATTGTTTAAGCAACCAGACTTGCTATTTTGTTATGACAGCTTGAGCACATTAATATCAGAAAACACGTAAAATTTGATTAATAATCTCAACACTCAATATTTAAAAATATGACAAATAATACATATTTTTTAAATTCTAGTATTGAATACTATACTACTAAGAAGACAAATATTCTTCCACTTTCAAGTACTCTAGTAGCCCTGTTGCCCACATCACCAGTCTATCACTTTTCTGTCTCTCTGGACTGATGACACCAGCTCCATTACTGGAGCCTCGTTTCCTAAGGATCCCTCAAACAGGTCAAAGACAAATTCTGCCTAGGAGGACACGAAGCACAATGAGTTTCTCTTTCACAGAACCTGGCACAGTCATCCACTTACATTCATGATCTGATGATCTGATGTAACTTGGGTTATTAACGCTTTAAGAAGTCAGGGGCCGTGCTTATTTGTATTCCACCCTCAATTCCCCTGCACCTAATACAAGGTCTGGAGTATGAAAACATAGCTTAAAAGAATAAATGAGAACAACTACTTAGAAGCTAACGATATGCAATAGAACAACCACTGCTAATTTCCAATCATCTGGCTCTGTATTATTTTTAAAATTTTTTATTTTCTTTAAAATAAAAAAGAATAAGTGAATGAGATGAAGAACTCAATCCAAGATGTCCCAGTGTTAAAAACTGTTTTCATTATGAGTGAACTCAGGAGATTTCTGGGAATTTAAACTGTGCAGCATGCCCTGGACTCTGCCTGCTTATTTACAACTCAAAGAGTCCTGCTCAACACCAACTATTGCCTGAGTACAAATGGAATTTGGTTATCCAGCTGGAAGAGACAGGCAGCAATTGTCAGGCTAGAAACACAATGCTTGATCTCGCAATAAAATCTTATTTATTCTTCAAGGAGAGATGTCATTGATAAATTCTCTGTTCACAAGGTTCCTTTTAAAAAGGCCAGTCTATGGAGGACTTAGAAAATTCTTGGTATTTTCCAAACTTGGAAAACAAAGCAAATGGAGCAGCCTCATATACCACACACTGCTGTCTGGGACTCACAGAGTAGAGCTAATAAAACATACGTATGTGAATGCTTAATATATATTCGCATAGGATTTTTTCCTTGATATTGCTAGGCATCAATGGGAACATAACAAGTTTTTAAAAACTAGGATAAAGGGTTGGCAAGATAGTTCAGTGGACTAAGCTCCTGCTTAGGCAAGTGTAGGGACCAGAGTTCAATTCCCTGGTACTGTATGCCACGGTGGCCCCACCACCAGGCACACTAAGCCAGCCCTGAGACCAGGCGTGGTAGTGCACAGCTGTAATCCCAGTGCTGGGGAGGTTGAAAATAGTAGGATCACTATAAGTCTGAGCTTCATAGTGAGACCCTGTACCAAATACATAAATTTAAAAATTAAATGAAATAAAAAGTAGGATAGAACACAGGTATAATTATCTTACCAGTCAATACAGAGTTTCTGAAAGTAAAATTGCTTTAAAAGAAAAAAAAAGCTGAAGATTAGAGAACAAAACATTTACTCTCCAGTCCTTCAAAGGGGAAAATAAAAAGTTTATTTGTTAAAGCAGAAATTCTCTCCTACTTCATTCTCCACCTGAAGCTTCCTGCTGGGCTTAGGGTGTGGAGATGAAGGCGACAGTCTAGAGGGAAATGACCTGCTCATGTTGTCAACTGCTTAGAGCTGACTAGGACCACACATGCCTGACCCCCGCCAACCTCTGGGGACGGATCTCCTCCATTCCATCTTTCTCTTTTCACTCCACTACTGGGACAGGCCTCCTCAAAGCCACCAACATGTTAGACACACCTCATGGGAAGGAAGGCTCCTTTTCCTTTCAAAGAAGTCAGTCTGTTAAGAGGCATTTTCTGAATACGTTTCATTCCCCACTAGTTCATCACTCAAGAGTTATAGTTCATATAACAAAGCATAGCAGATAACACATCCCCCTTGTGAACTGTATGGGTAGGAACAACAAAATACAAGGGTGGAGTCATTACCTGACTGGGACTCTGAAGACTAAAATCTAAGCCACAAGTGAACTCTGTATGATGCTCCACTGTTTCAAGAAGAGGGTCAGGCTTTGAAAAGTTCCAGAATCTGTAAAGGTAAACAAAAGGAAACAACGTAAGTGCTAAAACTCCTAAACACATTAAGAAAAAAATAGGTTATTTTTCATAGAAAATAAACTTTATCAAACAAGCTCAACAAATCTATAAATGCAGAGCCATTACTGATCTACATAAAAATCTAATAAGGAAAAACATGTCCTTCATCCTATTAGATCAAAAAACAAACAAAATTATTAATCAATCTGTCCTTGTAAAAGGTTACTGCATTCCCATTTGGCCAACTTGCAGGGTGGACACTTAACAAGTTTTTGTTTAGAAAAAAAAAATATGCTGTACCAGGACATGTGAGATGAGAGACACTGTGTGCCCTTGCAGCAGTTTCTAAACATGCATATCTCTGAAACAAGAATACTGGATTAAATGAACTGACATTTTGTGATTTTAAATTCTACTTCATTTCTCAACAAGAGACATGAAAAGATCTTAAGTTTAATTTACATTTCAACAGCAATTCAAATTTTTTAAATAAATCTGTTCTCTTGTAAAGCTCTCTGTAATTCTGAAACTATCATTTTTGAGGCACAGCCTTTCTTATAAATTCCACATCAAGGTAACTTCCAGAGTTAAGACAACCAGGAATGTGTTTTCCTGGGCCAATATTATGTATTCTACTCCTCCTCTATAGACTGGGAGTGATATTTACCATAATACAGCTCTGATTTCTAGTGTTCCAAGTAGAATTTGCCCAATTTTCAATACACAAAATAGTACTTTCGCTTTCTAAAGCTTTATTTGCTCATCATCTTTTTTTATTTGACTCTAAACATACTATAAAACTGGCACATTCAGAATCATAGTCATAGCCTTATTCATCTTCTCTAATGATCTACAACATAAAACACTTTGAAGTTGGGCAGATCTCTTTGAAAGAGAGTAAACACACAGAGCCAACAGTCACAGTTTGTTTAACTTGGTGATATTATTTCCCTAATAAATGCAGTTGGCCCTATTAAATTTTGAAAAGAATTGTGTCTACCATGTAGGTAGCAAAAAGTCACTGAATAAACAGTTCAGTGACTATCAGATTACTGAAAGCTATAGAATATGTAGGGAGAATAATTTTACTTTTGAAAATTTGCCTGTTCAAATAAAAGAAGGCCTCAGAAATCCTAATGGTGGTCTCTTACTATTTTTGCATATTTGCTCCTTTGGGTCTAGACAGTGAACTGCACTGAAATTAAATTTTCTGAACCTTGATAATGTTTAAGCAAAAGTAAATATAATTGTATAATTTCATTTATAAAACCTGGTTACACATTGATTTGCATTATTTGAAACAACGAAATAAATGATTTTGCATATATCCACTATGTTCCCAAAAATTCATTATTTTTAAAATACACGTTTAATATGGCAAAAATGGGATAAAGGAAAATGAAGGATAGGAAAAGCAAGTTGGAACCTTTGGTGAGACTGGTAAATAAAAAATATCCCATGAAGTCAAGTATGCTTGACAGGAGAGAACCTCAAGATGCTTTCTAGCAGCCCAGGGAAAAAACACACCAGCAGGCTCCAGACTCTGTTATATCTAACCACATTCCTCTAGAACATGCAGAAGAAATGTTCCCTCAGGGGTTTACAGACAAGAAACCCTATGCTTATGTAATGAAGAATGTCTTCAACACTTCTTAGTTACTTTTCTCTCACTGCTGAGACAAATGACCTGACGCCCCAAATTAAGGAAGGGAAAGGTTTATTCAGCTCACACTTTGTGGAGGCTTCAGTCCATAATCAGCCAGCTTCACGGCAGGGCGGTTGGACACAAGGGCAACAGTGCAAGCCAGGGGCCTTGGCACAAGGCAGGGTGGCCGGGCACAAGGGCAACAGTCAAGGCAGAAAAAAAAATAAATCTATAGTAAGAATTGGTTCCTTTCAGTATAACTTTTCAGGGATAATAAACAGCAACAGGGTTATCGGGTGCCCTTTCTATTATTGTTGATTTAAGCCAGGTAAGAAAAAGCTGCACAAAGAACAAGACCAAACGTTCCCTGAAAACTCAGATGCCTAACAAGAGTAAATAGATGAAGCCACCCAACCTGAGCCCCACAGTGCGATGGGGAAGTCACCCATCAGGAGGCTGAGGTACTCTGCACAATGTCCATTCGGATTTGCCTTATGTAGAGCTAAATGTGACATCAAGTTCAACACCTCAAGGTCATCATCACCACCTTATCCTGGGAATAAGTATCCAGGATTTACTCACATTCTGCAAAACACTTTATCAAGCAAATACATGCTAAAACTTTGAAGAGACAGTTTGCTGGATGGGGTTTTAGTCTGGGGACTAGCAAAAGCAGTGTCAGCTGTCTTACCACTTCACAGCTCTGACAGAAATGATCTAATACCTGATGCTTTTATTACAGTCTAGATACACACGAGGTACCTAGACCAATATTCTAAAAACAATGAAAAATCTTAGAAAAAACCTAAAAACAATCACCATCACAAAAATGTCAAAAAAAAGCACACATGAGTATTGCTAAGATAAAACTAAGTGAAGACTCAGAGCAGCAAATTGAACAGGGAAGCCAGCCTTTGCCTTGAGAGGATCTGCCACATGTGGAGAACTGAAGCTTCAGTTTTCTTAAACTTAAGGGGACTCAGGACCCAGCAAAGCCAGAAACATACAAGCTAATATATATAATTTAAAAGTAACCTTCAGTACTTTAAAATATTATCAAAAAATCATTTACTACAATTGCTCAATTGCAGCTACTCTGGAGGTTGAAGGAGGAGGATCACAAGACTGAGACCAGACTGGGCAACCTAGTGAGATTCTGTCTCAAAATAAAAAACAAAAAAGGCTGGGGATATGGTAGAGAGACCCAAGTTCAATTCCAAGGCCCAGACCCAAAGAAAAAATGAGATTACACAGCTAAAATAGGTTGAGAAAACCAAAAGCTAGGAGATATACACACATACAGAAATTTATTTTTCATCACAACTGGTTAATAACAAAAGGAATACTTTCCTCCATTCCCATTCCTTACCTGCACCCATTATTAACAGTGTGACATGCACAATTCCAGATGTATCCACTTAACACCCTTCCCACTAAGAAAGGGTAAGCTGTCAGGAGGGGAGTGGGCATCGCTGCAGGGTTCATAAGGAAGGGAGTGATGGAAATCTCTCCTTGCACCGTCTCCAGGACTCCAGTATCCCTTCAAGGATATATATCTATCCTCCATCACTCAAGTAAAATGATTCCTTCTAATGGAAGAAGCCAGGCTGCACATGTCATCAAGCAGGCAAATAAAGCACATTACTTTTAAGGGAAATGTTTGTTTGAGCCCAGTTTATGTACTACTTGGTGCCTTTTTGTCTCCTGGTTGATGAAATCAGACTACTGAGGCGCTCTCCTGGGAAGTAAATACACTGGACAGGTTTCCAGCGATTAAAAATATGACACAACTGTAAGAACACTTTTCAATGAAATGACAGATCGTAATACAATGGTTCAGTTGCATTATTTTTGCCTTCTGACTCTGCAATTCTTTATCAAGCATGCATCTCTGTAATCAATAAAACATCAAAATTATTTCATAAATTGAGCTGATATTAATTTCCAATTTGCTAAAATGTAATGTGAAATATCTATGCTAATATTTTAAATTGAACATAAAGTTTAAAATATATATATAGTATATATATACATATATATTTGGTAAATATATATATGTATATATATACTATATATATATATATATATATATATATATATATATTTGGTATAGGGTCTCACTAAGCAGCTCAGGCTTGTAGTGATCCTCCTGTTTTCAGCTTCCCCAGCACTGGGATTACAGGCATGCACCATCGCACCTGGACTCTTGTCTACTGGTTCTGTGTGCCCCAGGGATGTGGCCAGCGTGGCATGAGGGGCTGAGGATCAAGCCCTGGTCCCTATGCTTGCCAAAGCAGACACTTAGTCCAAGTTCAAAATATTTTAAAAGTTCTTCCTTTTCCTTTCATGTTCTCAACTTATGAGTCAGTCACTAATTCTTTATAATTCCTTGATAACTAAATTCTTTGCTAACAGTGTTTGCTAAATAAGGGGAAGTATTCTGGCTAGTTTTTAATGTCTTATATATTAATTTTAGCTATGTCTTTAGAATTTTAATCAAATTGCACTATTATAATATGCTCCATTTGCATTGCTTAGATCCAGTAGCCTCTACAGCAATAGGCAAAAAATGCCACAATGCTTCTTTTCTCTTCATTAGATTACTCAGTCATTAACAATTTCTGAGTCTTACTATGTGCCAGTACTGTGCTAAGCACAATAAGCAGAACGTAATGCTTCTGCCTTTCTGCAGCTCACAGTTCTGTGAAATAGACATTCAAAAAGAAAATCACCAACACGACTTTCTCACTGCTAAGATACCATAGTCAACAACAAGAGGTTTAATTTGTTTGAGGTTCCAGTCCATGACCGGCTGGTTCCAAGGCAGACATGGCAGCCCAGGGGTGTGGCAGAGCAAAATTGCTTAGTTCATGATGGCTAGGAAGCAGAGCAGAGAAGAGGGTCGGAGCCCAGGCAGACAGGTATCAGACCCAGGCTCCACGGCCACTCTCCATGACCCACCTGGACAAAAGAGGTGTGCTCCCATGATCCCTCTGTGTCATCTCAACTCAATCAAGTTGAAACTTGACCCTAATCATGACAACAGGGCCGAGGGTACAACTTACCTGCAGAGCATGTGCTAGCACAGGTAAGGCCCTGGGTTCAATCCCCAACACTATAAAAACTAAAAATTAAATTAAAAGTAAAAAATCACCAAAACAGAAACATAATCCCAATTGATAAGTGCCCCGAAAAGAAAATGCTGGATGATGGAAGAATGACGTGAGGAACTGACCCTGAGCTGAGATCTGAGAGCTAAAAGCTTACTAGGTGGAAAGCAGAAGTGCAACTCACCCTGGTCAGTAAGAAGCCAGGCAATGAATGACTGGGCTGGAGCAGGGAGAAAG